CCCCCCGCCCCGTAAGTCTCTCCCCCAGGGGAGGGGGGGTACACGTGTGGCGAATGCATTGGGGCTCAGCCTGGCCCCCTGGTGCAGCGTCTGGGGGGGCCGCCCTGGGCACCCCCAAGGCTCCCCCCACCGCTTGGGGGGGGCCCCCCCAGCCCTGCCCCACGGCTGGGTGCGGCACCCGCTGTCACCCTCGCGTGTGCCTGTCCTTCCCCGCCCACTCACACAGCCCTGCACACCCGTGCACGCTCTCGCACACCCACCCGTGCACGCTCTCGCGCACCTGGGCACGCTCACACGCCCTGCACGCTCTCGCTCAGCCCCGCACACCCATGCACGCTGTTGCACACCCGTGCACCCTGTCACACATCCTGCACGCTCTCGCACAGCCCCGCGTGCTGTTGCACACACCCTGCAGGGCCTGGCTCCCTCCACGTGTTCTTGCACGTCCCTCGTGCTCTCGCCCAGCCCTGCGTGCTCTGCACGGCCTTGCACACCCTTCACGCTCTCAACCCAGCTCTGCTCGCTCCTGCACGCTCTCGCACGCTCCACGTGTTCCCGCACCCCTCGCGCGCTCTCACCCAGCCCCACGTTGAGGTGCAAGCTCCCGGGGGGGCCGCCCAGGTCTGCAGCCCTCGGCCCCCCCTCACCGGGGGTCCGGCTTCAGCCACGGTTTGTCTCGGCAGGGTCCGGCCAGGGATGCTGCGTGGAGCTGAGCACTGAAGCGGGCGCCATGGGGCGCGCATCGTAGCCCCCCGCCGTGGCCCCCCCGCGCGTGGCACCGGTGGCAGAGCCCACTCGGTCGGTGCTGAGCGCTCCTTGATGGAATTGCGGTGAATGGAACAGAAGCCCAGCACCCTGGACCCGCTGTCGGAGCCAGAGGACACCCGGTGAGCCCCCGCCCCGTGCCCACGCCGGCACTGCTGCCGCAGCCCCCTCGTCGCATTGTCCCTCGTGTCCCCACACCCTGTGTGCGCTGATGCCCTGCGTCCCGCTCTCCGTGCGT